TCTTCAAGCTGGTTTTCCTAGGCCTATTCCAGAGAGTACCATCAGATAATCTGAAACAGGCAAGCGAAAAAAACTCAGCCTGACCCAAAAGCATCGTAGCACTGAATGTGAAAGTCCCATTCTATCATTCCCTACCCGTTTCGATTTATCCCTCATAGGTACCTCTACCTCACCCAGCTCAAATCACATGCATTTCATGTTCAGTCAAGGTTCGGTCTCAGATAGGTGGAGACCAAACTTTTGGTTAGGATGTAAAATTCTTTTTCGTGCAGGTTTAAAAGGATTCTCCCGGCCAGAAATGTTGCTTGCTTTCCGGGCCAGGGATAGAACTTGCTTTGACTACAAAATATCTTCTCCACTTAGTCACCCCCGATAAAATTCATAACAAAAGGAGAGGAGGCGTATTGGAAAATGATTAGTGACCCCTAGTATGGGAAGAAGAAATGGGCTTTTTTCACGACTTCAGCGGGGTCGGAGATTCTTGAAATTTGCAACAGCTGTGAATCTTCGACAGAAGGGCGATGTAACAGCCAAGAAACTAGCGGTCCACTTCCTTCAACCATTCCCATCATCCACATTACCCAAGCTGACACAGTTTTTTGTGCAGCTCCCGCTAGAAGACACGTCGTGGAGGAAAAATCACCGCAGACCTCATTTGCTTTGTTTTGATTCATGTAGCATGAACTGTCACATTGAATATGATGAGTTCTGCAAAACAAATGACCTCAGTTATGGCCCGAACAAGGACAAGTCGAAAGTAACCATGATGGCATTGTATGTGCGTGGCGTGAGACTAAATGAAGGACACATGATTTATCTGCTGAATATTTGATTTATTCGAGCCAGACAACTGCAGCGGCTGACGTACAAAAGAATCGCTTTCGTTGGGTCGAGAACATATCGGGCTTCAAAAGAGTATCTGTTTGGAAGTTCACAAAAGTCTAACCCTATTCGGAATGTTTTGAAAGTCTCCGTAGAAATGCTACAGAGGGACGCTGTCCATTTGTATGCTGACAACATATCAGGAGGCTTCGTGATATCGCAGTCGATTCACCAGACACATCTTCGACTTTTTTCCTGCTTTATAACGTGGACCGAGAAATTCCAGAGCACGGACCAGTGCACACTAAAGAAAAATATGTAATTCAGCTTGTAGAGGAATCACTGTGTGCTTCCTGACCCAACCACGGAGTTCTTGAGCTTAGAGTTCTTAAGCCAATATTCAAGCACCATGAGAGAAATTTACAACTCAGGGTTTTTTGTATTGTATTCCCACGGGTTTTTCTGTTATTCTCACTATCATACTGTTTACTCCTCGCAAATCCACTTTGAAATCCATTTTATGACTTGATTTTCTCAAATCTTCTCTTCAAGTGAATTGTGGTGGAGACCGTAGCGAAGTGTGAGGAAGTCGGGGCCTATTAGTTCGGGTTTGACGAAGGTATCCATTTAATAAAGAGAGTGGGACTACTTTGAGGGTCAGCTTTTACCAAACCACATGACTAGGAGCATCCGTCAGCATCCGTCCGTCCTTTTAGCTATTTGGACACCGATTAAACGAATTCATTGAACGAATAACTCTTCAAAAAGTATTTATAAAACTGATGCGGAAGTTGGTTCATCTTCTTACAGCACACTAATTAAAGATGGCTAAAGTTGTTCTTGTGTAAATGACATCGTGATGAAAGGTAGGGGAGTCTTTCAGACTATAAATAGCTTTTGCAAAAAGTTCCAGGAATGTTCTATGACTACAAAGTCCTCACATTTCTGCAGCCCAAAAATCGAATGTTCGGGAATTTCAATGAAGGAAGGGTAAAAAAGGGTGACTCCTGCGTCACCCTAATTCATATGCATGTGCGTCAGGTTGCCATGCGCCTTCTCCTCCACTCGTAGTTTTTGTGGTTATTCTCTCGATACAACGACAGACCAAAGAGGTTCAAGAACTTTTGTAAGTGGTTTTATAGTTTACGAGCACTTAGATAAGAATGGAGATTAGATGAGGGATAACGTCTCTGGTGTTTATGAATTCCGTTTTTGGAATGCTCCACAACCTTCGACTTCCTCCAGAATCGTGGTGGTCGTGCGTAGGTGGCCTAGTTATAGTTTGCGGTGAACAGCTGAATTAAAAGTCAGTGCTTTACCTTTCCAGACGAGTCTGATACCAATTACCCGACCACGGAGTATGAAAGGTTTGGCTGGCATAAACGAGTATCGATCCGGGTTCCAACCCGAACCATATCCGTGTGATTGTGCGCCATTTGCCTCTAGACCACCTCTTTACTATTATGGCAGTACATTCTTCAAGTAGTGAGCGACTGATCAAGTACCTTCTTTAGCCATAGTCATCACTTTAACTGATTTGTTACTCAGCAGAATAACTTCGTTGAGTCACCGGGCGTTGGTTGACTTTCCGTTCTTTTTCTGCATTTTTTTCGTTCTTCATACACCATTTTGAGTAAATAGATAAGTTAATAAACAAATAAATAGATAAACAAGTAAGTAAACGATTCCCACGAGTGATCTGCTTTCACTTAACAGTTTTTGCCGTTTTCGTTGCTGTTAAACTAGTAGAACCACAATGATTATTAGTCCAAAGATTCTTTTTTGATTGCTGCCGGTGAGTTGGAGCGTGGTGCTGTCGTCGAAAGTTCTGCACTCAATTTGCAATTCCCGAAGCGCTCACCTTCAAAAAAGGAGCCTTCAAACGTTCAACGGCGAAAATTTGCTCAAAGCGGTCTCCACTGCTATGCTACTTCTTTTTTGAATAATCGAACTGGTGCTGTAAATTCGCTCCATATTCTCCATTTCGGAAAAGGCATTTAACTAATCCAGTCAAACACGATTTTCACTTCGCCTTCACTTCAAAAACGACCATATTCGTGTCGGACTGATTGCTTTCGCGTGTCTAACAACAAAATACGTCAGTTGCACTTTACCATGGCCCCCGCTGTATTTGTCAAGCTAAGGAATCAACAGTCGTTTTCCACTTGTCGACACTCGAAATGTCAACTACAAGTGGCTTTTCGGTCAGCTTAAGAGGCCAATTTCTGAGAAGGGACTAGAACGACACATAAAAACTTCTAACATATCGTGCTGATAAGTTAAAAACGAAATGGATAGGTGTAGAATAAGCGCAGTAGTTGGAGGCGGCTTCAACTGGACCACGCCCCATGTTCGGTTTCCGTTGGGAGTCATCTGAGATACCCAACCCCTTCTCACCGTTCCTTCCTGGCACCTTTGTATACAACTGTTGAAAAGAAAGCTGAGGATCAGCTGATTGACCTAATGGATGTACTTTTGCGAGAATTCTTGATAGCTTGAAATGATGTATTTACAAGCAGTTAGAGCGTAATTTAATTGAAAGGCTGATACATGTCAAGGCTGCAGACTTCTACATTGCTTTGGAACAGTATTGCTGGTAAAGCGGTCAGCAATTCTGTTCCGAAGCAATATAGAAAGCCTGTAAATTCTTGACGGCTTCTGTAGAGGCATGCCCATGAACCCCCGCTCCATTTCCGCTCATTTATTGCTTTTTTTTTTTGAAACTCTTTCAGAGCTTTTGAAAATTTTCTTCGCAAATTACTCCAATTTTTTGCTCAGGACGCATGTTAGAGCGAAAATGATCCATTCAAAAAAAAAAAAGTAAAAAATTTACAATTGACGTGTAACGAATGTATACATGTGAGAGCTGCAGAGATGATAAAGCCCAACTCGACTGGCATAACCCTGCTCGGGGAACTGCCTAGCAGGGTACTAAATTTGGTAAAACATCCCCCATTATCATTTTAAGCTTACCGCATTCGGAACGTCTCGATAGGTTTGAAGTTCCTTCATGAGGAACGTCTTCTGATAAGTCTTTGATATTTACCATCACTATATCAATGATAAAGGACGGAGATGGTGTGGTTTCAAGTAACGCACTGTAACGCACACACGATCGCCGGTTCGAAACCCTGATCGATGCCCGCCTAGTCCAACCAAGCCTTCCATCCCTCCGGGGTCGGTGAATTGGTACCAGACTCGTCTGGGAGGATAAAAGCACTGACTTGTACATCGGCTGGCCACCGCGAGTCATTGTATAGGCCGCATACGCAGTCATTACGCCACTACGATTTTGAATGGAAGTCGAGTACGGGGGCGCATCCTTCAGACGAGATTGATTAACGTCAAGAACTTTATCCTTCATCCTTTATGTCTATATGATTGTAGAAACTTTTTAGGGATCACATAATTGCTTATGAGCTCTCCTATGATAGGTTTGAATCAGCTTGAATCAGGTCAGCTTGTTGATGAAATCTTACGCGCAACCGTTGAACCCATAAATCTTTAGTCATGTCCTGAGAAGGAAATTGTGAAAAAGCCATCAATCGATTGACTGATAAGATGAAATGAGCCGGCAAAGGTAATGGATGGGACATCTTTTGTTTACCTTAGGAGTTGTGGACCAAACCGACACAACACATATGTGCCTATGTTTGCACATACGTAGGATTACCAAATGGAAGGGGCTAGTTGACTGTTAAGTGAAATGGTGGAAAAAGTGAAGTTTCTTGATAATACGTGTATTGACGGAATGGGGCAGTGGAAAGAGGCGCCACTTCTACATGTACAATACCTGGAACATATTTTATGCAAGCAAACAAGCCGTACTCATCTATACAGTCGGTAGCTGTCGAAGGTTTTCGAAAGCGTTTTGGCGTTAATCAATCCTGTCTGAGGGATGCGCTACGCATTCAACTTTAATTGAAAATCATAGTGCCGGTTTGAATGCGTGTGGGGCCTACCCAATGGCTTGCTGTGGCCAGCCGTTGTACAAGTTAGTTTTTCATCCTTTCAGACGACAGACAGACCATTTCAGTGGACTTCGCGTTGGAGTATTATCTTCGTAGTACCATCATGCATCCGTTTTTTATTCATATAGCAGAGCAAATCACTTGTGATAACTTTTAAGGATTTGGAAAAGGTACATGAAAAATTAGAAAGAAGGATAAAAGTAAAGAATAAAGTCTCGGGGCCTTAATCAATTCTGTCAGAGGGATGAGCCTACGCATTCGGCTCCCATACAGAATCGTAGAGGCGCATTGAATGCGTATGTAGCCCATGCAATGAATTGCGGTGGCCAGCTGATGCACAAGTCAGTGGTTTTACCCGGGTGTGGTGCGTTAGGAACGAAATGGTCGCATTGCGGTAAGAGGGGCGTCGCGCGCGAAGGAATGTAGCAGGATGCAGCAGTAGGTAAGAAATACAAGAACAAAAGTACTAATAGTAGAATTCTGCATAAAATAATGATCGCATATCCATTGAGCTGTATGAACAACTCTAGAGCTGTAATAACGGCGAATGAGTGGTCCGCGTCAGCCGCATGTGGCAAATCGACTACCCAAAATCGTTCCTAACGCCCGTCTCCCGTTTTATCCTCCCAGACAAGTCTGGTACCAATCAGGCGACCCTGGAAGAATGGAGAGCTTTGTTAGTTTAGGAGGTTCGGATCCGGGATTCAAACCCGTTAGCGTGCGTATGTGATAGCACGCCACTTGCCGCTAAGCCACCTCCGCCGCTATCCATTAAATATTAAACCTATTTTGTTGCTGTCAGTCTATCATTTGAATAAATCTACCACTGTAATGCTCTTATGTACGTGTGCTTTCTAAATTTCGCTCTTTCTACACGGTCTTGTGAAAAAACTAGAAATCTACAGCTGTCCAAATGTGCCTTTACGAAATTGACTTCACTTTCTCTTATTTACGGCCTCCTTCGTGAAAATTCATATCGAGCTCTACTCTTGCAAATTATTAGAGCAATCCGTCCGAGTTAAACGGGCTTCAGCTTCTCTCTCATTCCTTGCTTAAATATAAAGTTTATGTAGAAGTATGACCTTTTGATAATTTGGTGAACAGATCTTAAAAGAAAAAAAAATAAAAATTTGAATAAATCAAAATAAATAAATAATAATTAAAATAAGTAACTTTTAAAACTGAAAGTTTCGTTGAAGCCGAACTCTTAGGGATTCGTAAAAGTCATATCTTTATTGCATTTAGAAGCTAAAGTTTCTCTTTTAGCACGATGCAACCGCTTATGGAGATACTGGGAAAGATATCGACAACGCAAATGTTGCACCTGTGAGTTCATAAATTTGGGCCGTTTTTTCTATCTCAAACTCATCATATTTTTTGTATTTTTTGTATTTTGTCATTTGTTACGTTTCACTTCACTCAGAGATGCAAATTTTTCTCAAAGGTACGGAATTGAGCGCAAAACGTTCGATTCCAGTTAGGATGTGAGTCTGAGATTTACGGTTTTTTTTTGATGGTTTGTTTGAACTTCCGATATCTTATGTACAGCCTCCCAGTTGTTAATGTAAATAGGTGCGCAGCCAAAGGTTGCTCCCGTAAATCGGTAGCGTTGTGATAGAAGTCTTTTCATGCCTAATTGAGAGATCCTGAACTGATCCTCAAGGTTCCTTATGAGTCATTGTCTGGTTGTGTGAGAATAGCCACTGGCCAGTTTCAATGGGCGAATGTAATGGGAGAACGTCCATTGCGCGCGTCCGTCGAAAGTAGGTCACCTCGCCCACTTCGCGCGCGGCGCAGCCCACTGAGGCCCTGAGATGACATTACAGTACCACCAAGAGTCAGTGGAACGAATGATCTGCATTTGTTCGTGTTATCTTCTCTTTAATCTGACTGTCGTGGATCAAGCGTAAATGGTATGTCCCACTGGCAAATGCGACGTTCGTCAAGTATCGCGGGCTGACCCGCCGCATGCGACGGCCGCGGCGTGACCCAGTTTCGACGGACGCGCGCAACGAAGCGCACCCAGTATGAATCCTGGTGTCTCCAAGACCTCGGGCGGCCTGCTCCCTACTACGTAGCAACACACGAGCCATTATGTCCAGTCTTGCCAGTTAGATCAGCACCTATACAGGCGCAAGGGATATCGTATTGGTGACAGTATATAATGTGGTCTTCACGCAGGTCGAACAACATGTCACATCTGCAATGTATTGAATGCAGTAGAGGGGAACATTAATGAAAAAAAGAGCCCTTATGACTGCGTTTTGCCGCAATGATTCCGAGTGCTGAGCTCAGTACTCCCCTACAGAGCCTTTTTTACAGGTTGTCACTCTGTTCCTACCATGTCGAAAAACCATTTAAGGCTATACATATAAGACCTGTAGAAAGACGGACAGGCGGGGAGTCAAATATGCAGACAGACCGACCGACAGGTAGAGAGATTGATGGACAAGCAGGTAGCCAGGCAGGCAGACAGGCTGGCAAGCTGGCAGACAAACAGTCAGTCAGTCAGTCAGACAGACAGACAGACAGACAGACAGACAGACAGACAGACAGACAGACAGACAGACAGACAGACAGACNCGTCTAATTTGTTCCGTTCGCGCTGGATGAATCCTTTGTAATGAGGATAATTACAAGGCAGCACCACCTGTGACCCTTGTTCGGCAGAGAATGGATGAAGTCGATTAGAAGTGATCGTGTTGTCTTTGCTCTTCGGGGACGAGCTGGTTATCCGCTTAGCAACCGAATTGCCGAATTCCAACCCCAAGAAAGCTTGTATTATGTTGGAGAGAAGCTGTGACCGGACTCTACAAAAATCCATAAAATGAACCAGGTTTCCTTTATCATAGAAACAGTTCATTTTACCCAGATATTACCCGGTCATGAGATTTGGACGATAATAAGGAGTCACTTATACATCGAAGATAGCGACGTTATAACCGGGTGATGGTAAGGGTGAAGTCTCAGAGTATACCTTTACCGTAATTTGGGACTTTATCAGCTGGAAAACCCTTTTGGGATCCCATAACAATTCTAAGGCTTCCGGTGAAACGCTCCATACCGCCATTTCCCGATAGAACAAGCTTCATCCCGAATGTAGATTTCCTCGATGTGAACAGCATTCCCGTGCTTCAATGTATTCAGGAATTTCCATATGGCCATCAATCAAGGCGCTGCAGCTGGATTTCTCATACTAACGTGGTTTTTCTACGGCCGCCGTCAGCTCAATAAACTTATAATTGCTATTGTTCCCCCCAACACCTTTAGGCAGTTCATGTTACCCAGATGTTACCTGCTCTTCTTTCCTTGATCAGAGGCTACTTCTCGAACTCTTAGACGAATTTCGACGATTCTCTCTAGAAATGCTAGCACTTAACTATTCCAGAAGACTGAAGGGGATAGTTCTTACCTAGGCCTGCCATGTGGTCATTTTTGGAATAGCTCTAACCATTTGCCATGCACGTCTTTTTCTCAAGCTTCAAAGAATTTGACAAACTGTCAATCAATGGCAGCTCGAATGGAATAGAGGGATATCATGCCATTGGCGGAAGTTCCTATTAGTGCATTCTATCACAAATATCCCCGGAAGTTTCTGGAGTAGTACGATATTAACCCAATACGTGTATGTATTGAGCCACATATTGGCAACAAAGGTGAAGCGGAGCACAGAAATTTGTGGTGGTAGTACTGGTAGTACTACAATTACCCGTATTCGAGTAAGAAAGGCACTGACCGTTACTGTGATTCCTTATACTCACAGTCGTTTCTCGAAAAATTACACAAAACTTGGTCCTGACGTTAAGATTACAGTGGTTTTCACCACGTTATGATGCAGTATTACCTTCCCAATAACTTAAATTTCAGGTACCTACAGTGTATGAATTGTAGCACGAAGAAAAGAAGAACTAAAGAGATCCGGTCCCAGATCCGGATCTGTCCGTTCCTCAGATCTCGTGAAGCTTGTGCTGTTTGTCCCTTGTGGTCCTTTTAACAGCACAGATCATTTGAGAAATCGGAGAGCTTGGGTTGATCTCCTGTTACAGTTCCCACTTTCCATAGGGACAAGGAAGAACTTTTCGATGTTGGTCAATCCCGTTCGGAATCGTAGTGACCTTGAGAATGCGTATGTAGCCTAAACAATAAATTGCGAGGGGAAGCCGTGTACAAGCCAGCGTTTTTATAGTTCCATACGCGTCTAGTGCCAATCAGCCGGCCCCAAACGGTTAGGAGGCTTGATCGGCCTAGGCTGATACCGCCCAGGGATCCGAACTTCGGACTAAGCTTGTGTGGTAGCGTGCCACTTGTCACTACACCTTCTTCACCAGTTTCCTATATTGATTTGAGTTGGACAAGACCATCACTTTTGGCGGAGAAGTCGCTACAGAAGGGCTTTTCGAAAGGATGGTGAATTTCTGAATTGCCGGTGGCATCTGACAGTTGATTTGTGGAAGATTTCTTTCGCAGGAGTCCCATATGAAAACTGATCAAAAGATGTAGCAGTTTTGTAATGCTAGAAGAACTCCTGGCAGATTTGTACTCTGCCTGAATAATCACTGGTTTCAGTGAGGGAGAGGTGTTTTTAAGCTGCGCCCTGAAATCTGAATTATCGGCTTTCGTCTTTTATGAGCTGGTTTCTACTTCATTTCAAAGCTTTTCTCAGTAAAAGCCAGTTCTAGTTCGAAAGAGAAAATGTGACATGAGCTCGGATCTCTTGAGAATGCTACTGCGAAGTTTGACGGAATGAAAAATCGACACGCCTGCTCGTCCACATTTGGAAGCCAGTTGCTGGCCACCCTATCACACTTTGAAGAAATCGGTGGGACCGGTGTTCCTTTCGCTTATCACCCAGACTGATCGCATTTGCAAAGTGGACGTTTCCCGTTAACGGCCGTCCCATTTACACGACGTCATTCGTCACAATTTCTGCAGGAGACGTTGTGAATGACGACGGCTTGTGCGAATCTGCCCGATCCCCAGAGGGGCACACCAACACTGGGAGCCAGCCGCCACCAGCGCAGCGCCGACTGGGGGCGATGGACCACGGCCGCCCAGAAACAATGCCATAATCAGAACTCGTCGGCGCCAACCAACTGCGGAAAATTCAGTTATCTCGTCGTTTCCGTTGAAGTTCTCGAACTCGTTCCTTTACTCCTTCGCTCATTCGCATATGCGACGGCCTCCCAGACGAAACCACCGTCAATGTCGCCATTATTTTTGTCTTTTGGGAATTTTACGGGACGTTCAACGGCGTAGCACTTGGAAGTGCTTCGACGGAGGCAGTCATTTACTTGCATGATTCATGGCTATTGGGAACGAACGCCAGCCTCTCATGCCCTTACCTAATGCGTATGAAGTGCGAAACGTTCGAAACAGCTTTTCGGCAAAAGAAGTTTTGGTCCTTTTTTTCCTTGGCTTATTTCCAT